AAAGAGAGTTCCTGGATTTCATTATAATGCGGATGGGGTTTGGGGTAAGATGGAAGGGATGGATCAAGTTCTGCATTTTCTCAGTCAGATTCTCTGTCCTGGTTAATGGTAGCCCGTGTGGTTTCTTTGGCAGCTCCAGGGGTCTCAGGCAAGGTGACCCTCTATCCCCCATGCAATTCATTCTAGTGATGGATGCTCTGAGTAAAATGATGGATCGTACGGCGGGCGAAGGCTTCTTGAGAGGATTCTCAGCTCCGATCTGGGTGCTCAGTGCCCGAAGAGTCTCTCATTTTCTTTTTGCGGATGACACCTTGGTTTTCTGTGATGCCGATATGGATCAGTTAACCTACCTGAAGCAGGTCCTGCAGTGGTTTCAGATAGTATCAGGACTCAAAATCAACCTCGGCGAGTGTGAGATTTCTCGGTGGGTGAGGTTGCTAACATTGATGCTTTGTCTCATGTTCTCAGATGTAAGGTGGGCTCTCTTCCCACTACTTACCTAGGTCTCCCATTGGGCTCTCTATTACTTGTCCATGTTGCAAGCTCCTGTGAGCATCATAGATAAACTGGAGCGGCTTAAAAAGAATTTTCTTTGGGATGCGACGAATGGAACTAGAAAGTTTCATCTAGTGAATTGACAGACAGTCACTTCTCCAAAGAAGTGAGGTAGACTTGGATTAAAATATCTTAGGGTATTCAACAGAGCTTTGTTGGGGAAGTGGTTGTGGAGATTCGGGGTAGAAGAGCATGCTCTATGGAGGGAGGTCATAGTAGAAAAGTACGATTCCACGGGAAGGGGTTGGAGGACCAAGGCAATCACAACACCTTTCGGGTGTGGCATATGGAGGAGCATCATGAAGAATTGGGAAGATTTCAATGGCAACATCACTTACAGGGTGGGAGATCGAAGGAGAATCAGCTTTTGGAATCACAGGTGGTGTGGAGAGGATACTCTAAGGGTCTCTTTCCCTCACGTCTTCAGAGTTTCAAACCATAAGGAATTGATGGTCCAATAGATTCACAAGGAGCATGAAGGAGGTAGTATGGGACCTCTCATTTAGAAGGAACATGCAAGATTGGGAGATTGCGGAGCTCCAAAATTTGTTGGCACTGCTATATAGGCAAGACAGGCCCCAACCATATTGTGATTCTTGGATATGGGGTTGCGTGGCGATGGTTTGTTCACCGTAAAGTCCTTTAACCAGAGTATGTTGGTGAGAGAGGATGATACTTTTCCATACTCCTCGATCTGAATTCCTAAGGCACCCACGAAGGTATGCTTTTTTGCATGGCTAGCGGCGAGAGGAGTGATCTTGACTGCCGAAAATCTGCGAAAGAGAGAAATTACACTTGTTAGTTGGTGCTACATGTGTAAAAGCTCAGGGGAAGGAGTTAATCATCTTTTGTTGCATTGCCCTGTGTCCTCGATTTTGCGGAGGGAAATCCTGAATCTTTTTGGTGTTCAATAGGTGATGCCAAGCACTGTAAAGGAAATGTTATATAGTTGGGCCAGCTTCCGTAGAAGAAGCAAGCAAAAGGCGTGAAAGTTCGCCCTGATAGCTCTCATGTGGATAGTTTGGGGGGAGAGAAATATGAGAGCTTTTGAGGGGATTGAGTCTCCTTTTTCACATCTTAAGAATAGTCTTTTATCTTTGATCGATTTTTGGTGCACTCATATAGTCCCTACTTGTGTAGAAGATTTGGCGTCTTTTGTAGAGAATCATGTTTTGATGTAAATTCTCTACTTTTTGGTATACTTCTTGTATACAGGAGTTTTTTCTCCCTTTTGATCAATTCAATTTACCTTATAAAAAAAAGTAATATAGCAAGTTGGGAAGAGAGGCTTACGATTTGGTTCAACAAACAGAAAGGTTGCAGTGAAAATGGAAGAAGAATAATCTGGTCATTTCATAACTTTATCCTGGGATTATTCATTCCCCTTCTTATTCATCCCCCTTAGATGGGATTAACTAACCCCAAGATAGTGGTGTAAAACTATACTGGTTTTAGTTAATCCCTACAACCAAATATGGGATAAATTTTATTCCAATTTCTATACTAGGATATCCCACCTTATCCCATGAACCAAACGACCCCTTAGGTCCTTAACTCCAAGTCCTCCCCAACATTTAGGAGAAGTCATCGAACCAAGTGGTACTTCCTTGCCCCATCCAACGAATCCTATAGAAAGTTTCTTTGAAGCCTTTCCAACTGGTCTCAAATACTAGCTAGAGCCTGAAACAAAGATATGAAGTATATAGGGATGCTTTATAAAGTACTCTTGATAAGCACTTCCTTCCCTAACGGTAATCAAAGATAGGTAGTAGGGAGGGCTCCTACCCTGCAATTCAAAACTTGAGCACACATGCCTATACATCCACCTCTACAATAACGACAACAACATACCCAGTGTGATCCCACAAAGTGGGGTCTGGGAAGGGTGGGATGTACGCAGACATTACCCCTATCTTGTGTAAGGTAGAGATGCTGTTTTGGATAGACCTTCGGCTCAAGAAAAGCGTTTTCAAAACAGGTTTGAAAAAATTTCAAGATTAAAAAAAGCTATGATGAAAATAAAGAAAAGAAAAGTATTGATATCAAAAACAGAAAATATTATCTACCTCTCCTATAGGAATAATCTCACATTTCCTAAGATTAATCTTAAGATCTGATACGACCTAAAATATGTTAGCACTTGACCTAAGTAATCCAACTGGGTCCCGTTTGCATCACAGAACACCAAATTATCATCCGCAAACAAACGATGAGAAATCAACATGGTGCCAAGACTGCCAACCGCAACATTGATGCCCTTTAAAAAAGAGATCACCACCTTTTTTATTCTCCTTACCTACAATCTCAAAGCACTTAATCCATCCATTCATCTCAGCTCTTCTAAGCATCAGGCTAAGAGCTTCCATGACAATAACAAATTGATAGGGGGATAGGGGATCCTCTTCTCTCAAACATATGAATGACTTGAAAAGGCCTTCAGGATTCCCATTTAAAAGGATAGAAAACCTGACTGCACATATACAACTTTTTATCCATTGCAACCATTTGTCACCAAAATTCATCATTCTCAGCAGCTCCAACAAAACATGCCAACTCACATGGTGATAGGCCTTTTCTAGATCAAGTTTATACATTACCCCAACCTTCATCTTTCTCCAATGATGTTCAAAACATTCATTTTGCCACCATTGCATCATCTACTATCTGTCTCTCTTTAATGAATGCAAACTGATTGCCAGAAATGAGTTTAGATATTACTTTAATTTCTGTCAAGATCTTTGAAATTATTTTATAGACACTCTCCAACGGACTAATGGGTCTAAAATCCTTCACCTCCACTGCACTTTTCTTCTGAATGTGAGTTCCTAATGCCGTTCAACTCTTCCTGTCCTTTTCATAACTGTTTCCTCTTAAATATCTTTTTACTTATTATATATTTGACACAAATTCCTTTTTTCTCAGGCACCCACTAAAGGACCTTTCTTGATTCATATCTTATGATTTTTATATGTCAATGCATATCATACGGAGATCCTTCTTCCTCTCCCTATAAATTGTTATCGATTTTCAATAATGTATCTTTATTTTAAGTCTGCCAGGCATAAAAACAAACTTACTGTCTGTCACTCTTGTAAATGTGTCTAAGTCTATGCTCTATAATTATTTCCTAGAATTTCATCACATGGCTCATAGTTTATACCAAGTTAGTTTGCACAGCCTTTTTATTATTTATCGCACAACTTTTAAATCTCATTTGTTTTATAACTCTTGTCACTTGTTTGGGATCTTTTCACTCCTGAATATAACATTGAATTGCTTGGTTAGTCATTGTATTCCAACTTCTCCGGGGCACTTCCAGACCACTGGGTTTATGACAGACTTTTCTAATTAACATCATCTGCAAAGGTTTCTGGAAAAACCTATATTATGAAACAAATTTTATAAGCATGTCTTATACACTATGTTCTTCTTACCATTTTCAAAACAATTATGCTCTTCTAGGTCTCATAACGGAAGTTTCCAATATGGCCGTCTCATGCACCAGCTCCAATAGTCCAATACCAACTAACATAGGTATCTTTCTGAAGTAGAGTTCTGAGATGGTGAAGTATAGAGCAATTTAGTAAAGATTGTATAATTCTTAAAGAAAGTAAAAGCCACAAGATACATTCATAGTTATTGTTCTCACCGATAGTGTAACTGTGTGTTTTGCTTGAACTAACATAGGTATCTTTCTGAAGTAGAGTTTTGAGATGGTGAAGTATAGAGCAATTTAGTGAAGATTGTATAATTCTTAAAAAAAGGAAAGCCACAAGATACATTCATAGTTATTGTTCTCACCGATAGTGTAACTGTGTGTTTTGCTTGAACTAACATAGGTATCTTTCTGAAGTAGAGTTTTGAGATGGTGAAGTATAGAGCAATTTAGTAAAGATTGTATAATTCTTAAAAAAAGGAAAGCCACAAGATACATTCATAGTTATTGTTCTCACCGATAGTGTAACTGTGTGTTTTGCTTGAACTATTCATTGGGCTTGCGTTTCCTTAATGCGTAGATCATGTCGCAAAAATTTGATACATAAGAAGTTTATACTTGCTTGTTTTTTGTCTTGTTGACCAAGTGGATGCATTTCACATTCCAAATTGAAATAAGGATATTGCATGTCTGAAGATATTTTTATCCCACATGGTCTATAATCTCCTTATTCAGTGTTCAGAGAATAGAGGGAGGTGAAAAGTGGAGAGAAAAGTAATACTATAATGACTGTATGAGTTGTTCTTGGTAGTTGCTAAATTTCTACTGATTCAAGAGAGTATGGCTTATCCTACTAATAAATCATAACTACAAAATTAACAGGCCCATCGATGTGATCTATTTTCATCTTGAATCATGTAATATTTCTTGTTGCATGATATAATGTAATTCGTTTAACTGAATATTATTTATATATAAGTGTCTGAAACGTAGTTTTTATCAGGTTGTGAGCTCCATGGAGTTGCTTGAAGAGGAGTTGGAACTAAATGCTCTTCATAACCCAGGTAGTCCGCGCGGTAGTGGCAATGAGAAAGCTGCCGTTAGCCAAAGAATTGCTCTTTCTACTGCTTTAGGAGGGTGTATAAAAGTTTCAGCAATGAGCATGATTTCCGGTTTGTTGTTTTTTTGGGTTCAGTTTGAGAAGGAAATGAAGTTCTTAATGACTTCAGTTGTTAATGGAGATATTCTTCACTTAGATACAACTAATGGTAGAGATTTTTCTAGGCCTCATAGATACTTTTATTTTGTCCCCTACAGGTGTCAAGTCAACTTATCTACTTGCAGTAGCAATTTTGGAGATAACACGGTTTTGTAGCAATGGTGGGATCCTCAGTGTTCCTAGTTCAACAGCTTCTCGAACTGCCTTCATCTGTGTTTTTGAATACTTGAAAAGTCCTGGTCTCAAGCCGGCCGTCTCCCAGTGCTTAACAGCAATTGTTCAAAGGGCTTTTGAAACAGCAGTAGCATGGCTGGTATTTTTAACTCTCTTGGCTTGTCTTGCTGTTGTGGACATACTTCGTCACAGTTTGAAATCAATAATGTTTAAACTGTATAGCATGCCTTTTTTAGTTGTTTTTTATCATGAAAAAGCTAACGGAGATAATATATTTTTTAAATATAAGTTGCTGATCCTCTTCTTTTGCATTCCCTTTCCATTTCTTTTATTTTGAGGAACAATAATTATTTTATTACACAATACAAAAGTCATGCGTAACTGTACAAGTATTACATAACAAAAATAAAAAAAAACATAAAAATAAAATCATTCGCCTTCCTACCCTTGTATTGACTCTATGAGTTCTATCAATGTTGATTGACTTAATTATTTGGATTAATAAAGATTTGATTCAGATTGAGAAAGATTTGATTCAGATTGAGATTTGATTTTATTCTGATTAATTATAATTTGATTGTAGTTTATTTTCCTTCCTAAAATAGTCATAGGACTTAGTGTATAAATACCTTTGCTTAGGGATGTAAGAAATACACAGAAATACAAGAAGCCTTTTTTTCTTCTCAAAAATCTACATGGTATTAAAGCCATCGCTGCCTTTTTTAGGTGAGTTATCTCCCTCGCAGCACTAGAATTCCGTTATTATCAAAGAGGTCGAGTTTTCTCTCTCTGGTGGCTATTCGCAACACAAACCCCTTCTGGTTCCGTCGAGCCATATTTGGTTTCCGGCGAGGCAGATTATTTTTGAGAAATTTTGTTCAGATTTTCTTCTGATTGGGCAGAAAACATGGAGACATTCAAGGAGACGGTTTCTGGAGAAATCTTAATTCTTGGGTTGTTGATTCTGGTACAAATAGACACATGACAGGCTCTTCTAAAGGCATTCAAAGTTATTCTCCGTGTCTCAAAGGAGATGGTGTTAAAATAGCCAATAGTTCTTTAATACATATCTCTAGAACATGTTTTGTCATTTGTACTCCTAATATTAAACTATCATCCGTTCTCCATGTCCCTGAGTTCTCTGTCAATCTTTTATTTGTTAGTGCCATGACCAAAGTTCTAAGCTGTAATATCGAGTTCTTTTCCGATCATTGTATTTTTCAGGATCTTCAAACAGAGAAAATGATTGGCAGTGGTAGATTGCATGATGACTTGTATATATCAGATTTAGAATTCAAAACTCTGGTCAAGCCTTTTTTGGGGAAAGTAAGTATGTCAACCAAGAAATAATACAACGGCATAGACGGTAAGGACACCCATCATTTTTTTTGTTTTGAGAACAGGTTGTCATTTTCATCAAACACAAATAATTCAAGAAAGGATAAAATGAAAATAAAAGATTGTGTACCAAAATAAATAGCTACAAATGGAATTTCACAAGATCAAGTCAAGTTTTTGGACAGGACAACTAATAAGATTGAAAAACATGCCACAATAACAACAATAAACCCAGTATCATCTCACAAATGGAATCTGGGGAGGGTAGTGTGTACGCAGACCTTAACCCTACCTTGAAGGTAGAGAAGTTGTTTATGATAGACCCTCGGCTCAAGGAAAGATGAAAATAAAGATTGAAAAACATGCCAACTCAGAGAAATTGTGACAAGTTAGGAGCTGTATATTAAGTCCTATTTCCTCGCCAAAATAAAATGATTTGACCTTAGGATGCTTTAGAAGACCACCAACATCTTTAAAAAAAAGAAGTGATTTGAGCAGATATATCTTCAGGTCAGAAATCCGTGTTTCTTACTATATGCCGTTTCTTGGACTAGATTTGTTCATTAGTACCAGCGAAGCTGCATGGCCTAACACAGTCAGCAAAATGAGGAGGAAACTGCTCCAAACAAATTAACATATCAGGTTAAAGTTAATATATGAACATGCAATACAGAGATAGAGCAAACAAGCAGCACGAAGAAAAGCATAGCAACGTCAAATAGAAACACATTTATTTAGGACATGCATTTGTCTGACAGTTGTTAGCTTGTCACACATGTAAAGCAACCCTGCAACAGTATGTACGATTTTGTTTTATTGTATCAGTGAAGAGGTTTGACTCTGACTTTGACAATTTGAAGTAATTAAAGCACTTCTAAGAAAGAAATAATATGGTAATGAGCAAATATTTAATGAAAAACACCAAAAACATAAGATGCCATATATACTTCATGCCTGAATCAGTGAGGCAAATTAGAGGCTAAGGCAAAGATGACAATTAAAACCATTTGGCCAAATTTGAGGAAACTTTTGCTCAACCCAATTAGGCTGTTGGAAGTAATAATCAGCTGAGAGAATGTATTCAGACAAAGGCCGAATTGAGAAGTTTCACAAGTAAATACCCGAACAATATCAATAATAAAATGACAAGTGAGTTCTGAAAAGATTGGTGCAGCAACCAGAACAGGACATCGTTTTCAGGAACGTCAGAAAATTTGGAGTGGATTAAGTGAATTGAACGTCAAAAAAAAAAAAAAATTGCAAAATATATAATTTTCAGTTTTTTAAAGTATTTTTTTTGTAAAAACTGAAAAAAAAAAGATTTTGCAAAATATTTTTATTTTTTTAAACTAATGCATATGTAGTCCATTGCTTTAGGAGAGTCTTTTTTTTTTTTTTCCAGTTTTTACAAAAAAATATTCTTTTTTCTATATTTTGCAAATTCCTTTTTTTTTTCTTTCAGTTTTTGCAAAAATAAATTCCACTATTTATAAAATATATGCTTTAATAAAGCTGAAAAAACTGAATTTTAAAACGGATCGGGTAAAAAAAAAAAGAAACGGGTCATTTTCATCTGGTGCTGCCACGTGGCACTCCATCCAAAATAAGGGTATATTTGTTCCAAAGTATGACAGGGTATAGATAACCCAATAGTATAACGAAGAGTATTTTTAGACTATTTTCGAAAGTACAAGGGTATATTTGGCCCTTTGCCGTTATCTATCTATCTATCTATATATATATATGTGTGTGTATTTTAGGATTTTCTGATTGCAAGTGTTGCAAATGTGGTAAGTTTACTAGTTTTATGGAATGGGTCGCCTATGTACCTAAGGCATTATGTGCCTGTCCACCTAACCTAGGTTGGGGTGTGACACAACTAGTTCTCAAGATTTTTATTTTGGTATCAGACTGAGAAAACTTCACTTTTGACTTTTAACAAATATACCCAAGTCATCATAGTGCAGCAATCAATAAAAGTAACAAAAATCATCGACTACCACATAAAGAAACAATTTGGGCAAGACCTCATAAATCAGAATAAATAGTCAAAAACAGAGGTGTGCTTCTATTATCACTCTTAGGATAAGAGTTTCTAGTATTCTTGGGATATTAACATGCATCATAGAACAAAAATTCAAATTTAGTCCTTGAAAACAAGCTGAGATATAATTTCTTCAAAACAAAGAATGATGGGTGTCCTAACCGTCTATGCCACTGTATTATTTCTTAGTTGACATCCTTACTTTCCCTAAAAAAGGCTTGACCAGAGTTTTGAATTCCATCTAATATATACAAGTCATAACTCAATCTACCACTGCCAATCATTTTCTCTGTTAGAAAATCCTAAAAAATACAATGATTGGGAAAAAACTCGATTTCACAGCTTAAAGCTTTAGGGATGGCACTTATAGATAAAATATTAACAGAGAACTCTGGGACATAGAGCACAAATGATAGTTTAATATTAGGAGTACAAATGACAGAACCTGTTCCAGAGGTGTTAAAGAACCATTGGCAATTTTGACATTATCTTTTTTGAAACACGGAGAACAATTTTGCATGCCTTTAGAAGAGCATGTCATGTGTCTATTTGCACAAGAATCAACAATCCAAGAATTAAGGTGAGCTACAACGGTTGTACCTGATTGCACATAATTGGATGTGGCAATATTAGCGAAGTCAAGCTTGTCTAGGAGGCGACCAAGAAGCTGAATTTCATCCGAAGACAGGATTTTTCTAAAAATCGTCTCCTTGAATGTCTCCATATTTTTTGCTCAATCAGAAGAAAAATGATGAAAATAATATGCCTCGCCAGAAACCAAGTCTGTCTCGACGGAACCTTAACTCCGGTGAACGGAAAAATCAAAACTAGAAGGGATAGGTTCAGAATGTTCCAGCAATCCTATCAGAAAAGGAAATTCCAAAAAAGCTGACTAGAATGAGTTGTGTTACGGACAACCACCAAGAGAGAAAACTCGATCTGTTTTTATAAAAATGGAACCCTAGTGCTGCGAGGGAGATAACTCACCTAAAAAAGGCAGCAATGGTTCCGATACCATGTAGATTTTGAGAAGAAGAAAAGGCTTCTCATATTTCTATTTTTGTTCACATCCCATGAGCAAGGAAATTTATACAAAGCTCTTAATAGTAATTAAGGAAATAAAATAAATCTATACAATCAGTCTAGCTATCAAATCAAATCAAATAAAATAAAATTAAATCTCTTAAATATAATCAAATCTCCTGAAAAATAAAATTCTGAACCGAACCGAATTAATTCGGTATTTTGGTATCGGTTTATGCTGTATTTCGTACTACTTCAGTACGGTCCTCGGCATTGAGGTTTCGATATTTCTGTATTACCAAAATACCAAATTAATTAAGTACACCATCCTGAACTGCCCCAGCCCAAGTTATCAATTTCCAGCCCAAAATTTTAACTTGTTAGTTCTTACCCCCTAGACAGTAACCCATTAAGACCAAGTCCAATGCCCCGGCCTAATGATAGTCCTAGGTTTTAGATGCAAAATCCAGAGGTCCCTTACGCCTTATTGAGATGCAAAATCATCAATGACTAAGTGCTCGAGAAAATAGATAATGATATGATTTCTATTAGAAGTAATTAGAAGTAAAGGAATTGCTCACATTCTGTTGCTATGCTCGTTTATCACGTTATTAGAAATTTTCTAATGAATTAGATTTTAGTAGTTCACCACTGTTTAGTTCACAAAGACCTTGTACGATATCGAAACCGTATTGAACCAAACAACAAAATGTAAAACCGTATCGAACTACTTTGGTACGGTATTTGGTATGCACAATTGATATACCGAAGCACCGACCGTAGTTTTCAAATACCGTACCGAACGCCCACCCCTACCTAATGCTAATTAAGGTAATAAAATAAATCTATATGTAGATTTTGAGACGAAGAAAAGGCTTCTTGTATTTCTGTGTGTTTGCATCCCATGAGTGGGAGAATTAATACAAAGCTCCTAATGCTAATTAAGAAAATAAAATAAATCTATACAATCAACCCAACTATCAAATAAAATCAGTCTCCTGACATCATGCCAATTAACAATCTCCTAAATATAATTAAATCTCATGAAATTATGCTAATCAACACTCCTAAATCAAGTTTTCTTGAATCATGCTAAGCAAGACTCCCCCTCAAGTTGGTGCAAAGATGCCGCACGTGCCCAACTTGTAACTCAAAGTATGGAAAGTTCGCTTGTTGAGACCTTTGGTAAACACATCAGCTAGTTGTTTTTCCTATGGCACATGAAATAAACTCAAGACACTAGTTGTAACTTTTTCTTTGATGACGTGTCGATCAATTTCTACATACTTTGTTCGATAATGCTGGACTGGATTATGAGCTATACTGATGGCAACCTTATTGTCACAGTACAAGGAAAGTTTTCCTTTTTCAGACAGTCTCAATTCCTGTAGTAGCATTTGTAGCCAAACCAGTTCGCAAATACCCTGGGCCACTATATTCTGCCTCCGCACTTGATCTAATAACTACACTTTGCTTCTTTCTTCTCCAAGTAACAAAGTTTCCTCCTACGAGCGTATAGTAACCGGATGTTGATCTTCTGTCATATAGAGATCAAGCCCAATCCGCGTCTATAAAGGCTTCTATTTGGAGGTGATCATGTTTGGATAAAAGTAGACCTTTTCCAGGAGCAGACTTTAGATACCGCAAAATGTGAAAGACAGCTTGAATATGAGGATCTCGGGGATCATGCATGAAATGACTCACCAGGTTAACTGAATAGGCTATGTCTGGTCTAGTGTGGGAGAGATAAATGAGTTTTCCAACCAGCCTCTAATATCTCTCCTTATCAACTGATTCTCCAACTCCGCTTTGTAACTTGTGATTGCTTTCAATGGACGATTCTAAGGGTCTACAACCCGTCATACCGGTTTTTTTCAAAAGATTCAGAATATACTTCCTTTGAGAAATAAATATTCCACTTTTGGATCTAGCAACCTCAATTCCGAAGAAGTACTGCAATTTTCCTAGATCTTTGATCTCAAATTCATGTGCCAACTTCTTCAATCGGGACATCTCCTCTTTGTCATCCACTGTCATTACTATGTCATCAACATAAACTATGAGAAGAGTGAGTTTACCCGTTTGATTTCTTACGAAGAGGGTGTGATCAGCAATGCTTTGTTGGTAACCGAAGGAGATCATTGCTTTGCTGAATCTTTCAAACCAAGCTCTGGGGATTGCTTCAGTCCGTATAAGGCTTTCTTCAATCTGCATACCTTTCCTTGACTCTGTGCAGTATCAAATCCAGGAGGAATCTTCATATACACTTCTTCTAAGTCTCCATGAAGAAATGCATTCTTCACATCAAACTATTGCAAGTCCCAATCAAGATTAGGTGCACAAGATTAAAGAATTCTAACAGTGTTCACCTTAACAACAGGAGCAAATGTCTCTTGATAATCAACTCCACAAGTCTGAGTGAATCCCTTAGTCAGCAATCTTGCTTTGAATCTTTCAATTGAACCATCAGCTTTGTGATTCACAACGAAGACCCATTTGCAGCCAACCAACTTCTTGTCTGGTGGTAAAGTGACAAGTTCCGAAGTCTCATTTTTTGACAAGACATTCATTTCTTCAATCATAGCTTGCTTCCATTTAGGATATGCAAAAGCTTCCTTCCAATTCTGGGGAATAGATACCGAAGAAATAAACAAGACAAAGGCTCTATAGGAGGGAGACAAAATTATAAGAGACAATTAGATAAAGGGTGTTTGGTGGTGCACATCTGACTCCTTTTTTTGTGAGCAATAGGCAAATCTAACTCATTAGAAAATGTAGATAACTGACCAACAGGAGAAGGTTAAGCTTCAGTGGATTGCATGATAGCTTCTTCTGCTCTATTTCTCCTTAAGTATGTTTTCAAATCAGGCCTATCCAAACACCCAATAGTCTCCCCCAGAATTCTTTATCCAATTTCACTTTTCCCTGTGATATTTTCATCAAGAGATCCAGTAATAGAACTAGGTAGAATCACCTCTTACTCCTTAGTGCTCTCCCCCCGAAGAGGTGATGAGATAATACTAAAATAGGGCTCAGATTCTCGAAAGGTAACATCCATGCTAACAAAAGATCTCCTAGAGGGAGGATGATAACATTTGTAACCTTTCTGTATTGGAAAATACCCAATGAAAACACACTTTATAGCTATAGGATCAAGTTTCTCAGAATTTCTAGTATGGACAAAGAAACACACCTAAACACCTTTGGATGAACAATATATTCATTCTTACCCTTAAACGTTTCTAGAGGACTTTGAAAATTGAGGGATTTAAGTGGCATTATGTTGATAAGATAGGCAGCCGCAAGAATAGCATCCAGTAAGGTTTTGGAAGATGCATGGTGAACATAAGAGATCTTGCTACTTCTAACAGATGCCTATTGTTTCTTTCAGCGACCCCATTTTGTACACTAGTGTAAGGACAACTAGTCTGATGGACTATCCCATTGAACTCCAAATATGCACCAAATCTTTTATCCATGTATTCATTGCTATTATCAGTTCTAAAGATTTTTATTTGGCATCAAACTAAGTACAAATCATCTTATGAAATGGCTGAAAATAAGAAAAAACTTCACTTTTGGATTTTAACAAATATACCCAAGTCATCCTAGTGCAACAATCAATGAAAGTAACAAACCACCGACGACCAGACAAAAAACAGTTTGGGTAGGACTCCATACATCAAAATGAATAGTCATAAACGGAGTTGTGCTTCTATTATCACTCACTGGATAAGAGTTTCTAGTATGCTTGGCATATTCACACGCATCACAGAACAAAGATTCAAATCGAGTCCTTAAAAATAAATCGGAATATAACTTCTTCAAAACAAAGAATGATGGGTGTCCTAACCGTCTATGCCGTTGTATTATTTACGAGGTTGACATCCTTACTTTCCCCAAAAAAGGCTTGACCAAAGTTTTGAATCCCATATAATATTTTTTTTTGATAAGGTAAATTGTATTAATCAAAAGGGAGAGAACTCCCGTATACACAAAGTATACCAAAATGTAGAGTATTTACATCAGAATATGATTCTCTACAAAACACGCACAATCTTCTATACAAGTAGGGGCTAAATGAGTGCACCAAAAAGCGATCAAAGATAAAAGACTATTCTTAAGATGTGAAAAAGGAGACTCAATCTCCTCAAAAGCTCTCCTATTTCTCTCCTCCATACTATCCACATGAGAGCTAACGGGGCGAACTTCCACGCCTTTTGCCTTCTTCTTCTATGGAAACCGACCCAACTATATAACATTTCCTTTACAGTGCTTGACATCACCCATTGAACACCAAAAGGATTCAGGATTGCCCTTCACAAAGCAGAGGACACAGGGCAATGCAACAAAAGGTGATCAACTTCTTTCCATGAGCTTTTACACATGTAGCACCAAACAAGTGTAATTCCTCTCTTTCGGAGATTTTCAGCAGTCAAGATCATTCCCCTCACCGCTAGCCATGCAAAAAATCACACCTTCATGGGCGCCCTAGGAATCCAGATCGAGGAGTATGGAAAAATGGTCTCATCTCTCACAAACATACTCTGCTAAAAGGACTTTACGGTGAATAAACCATCGCCACGCAAGCCCCATCTCCAAGAGTCGCAGGATGGCTGGGGCCTGTCTTGCCCATATAGCAGTGCCAACAAATCTTGGAGATCCGCAATCTCCCAATCTTGCATGTTCCTTCTAAATGAAAAGTCCCATATTACCCCCTTCATGCTTCTTACGAATCTGTTGGACCATCAATTCCTTCTGGTTTGAAACTCTGAAGACGTGGGGGAAGGAGACCCTCAGAGTATCCTCTCCACACCACCTATGATTCCAAAAGATGATTCTCCTTCCATCTCCCACCATATAAGTGATGTTGCCACTGAATGCTTCCTAATTCTTCATGATGCTCCTCCACATGCCACACCCGAAAGGTGTTGTGATTGCCTTGATCCTCCAACCCCATCCCGTGAAATCGTACTTTTCTACTATGACCTCCCTCCATAGAGCATGCTCTTATACCCCGAATCTCCATAGCCACTTCCCCATTAAAGCTCTGTTAAATACCCTAAGATCTTTCACTCCATGTCCACCCCACTTCTTTGGGGAAGTGACTGTCTGCCAATTCACTAGATGAAACTTTCTAGTTCCATCTGCCGCATCCAAAAGAAAGTTCCTTTGAAGTCGCTCCAGTTTTTCTGTGATGCTCACCGGTGCTTGCAATAGGGATAAGTAATAGGTAGGCATACTCGATAAAGTACTTTTGATGAGTACTTCCTTACCTCCTTTTGACGAATACTGTTTTTGCCAGCCTGCTAATCGTTTTTCAACCCGCTCGATCACTGGATTCCAAACCGTAGTATCCTTATATGAAGCGCCAAATGAGAGGCCCAGGTAAGTAGTGGGAAGGGAGCCCACCTTGCATCTGAGAACATAAGACAAGGCATCAATGTTAGCAACCTCACCTACTGGGAAAATCTCACACTTGCCGATGTTGATTTTGAGTCCTGATACTAATGGAACCACTACAAGACCTACTTCAGGTAGGTCAACTGATCCATATCGGCATCACAGAAAACCAGTGTGTCATCCGCAAAAAGCAAATGTGAGACTCTTCGGGCACTGAGCACCCCAATCAGAGCTGAGAATCCTCTCAAGAAGCCTCCGCCCGCCGCACGATCCTTCATTTTGCTCAGAGCATCCATTACTAGAATGAATAACATTGGGGATAGGGGGTCACCTTGCGTGAGACCCATGGAGCTGCCAAAGAAACCACACGGGCTACCATTAACCAGGATAGAGAATCTGACTGAGAATATGCAGAACTTGATCCATCCCCTCTATCTTTCCCCAAACCCCAATCCCATCTAATATATACAAGTCATCACGCAATCTACCACTGCCAATCTTTTTTCCTGTTTGAAGATCTTGAAAAATACAATGATCGGGAAAGAACTCGATTTTGCAGTTTATAGCTTTGGTGATGATATTAACAGATAAAAGATTGACAGGGAACTCAGGGACATGGAGCATGGATGATAGTTTAATATTAGGAGTACAAATGACAGAACATGTTCCAGAGATAGGTGTTAAAGAACCATTGGCTATTTTAACATTATCTCATTTGGGACACAGAGAATAGTTTTGAATACCTTTAGAAGAGCGTGTCATGTGTGTATTTGCAGAATCGACAATCCAAGAATTAAGGTGAGCAGTAAAGGCAGTACCTGATTGCACATAATTGGATGTCGCAACATTAGCGGAGGCAAGTTTGGCTAGGAGGCGATGGAGAAGCTGAATTTGATCTGAAGACAAGATTTCTCCGGAAACTGTCTCCTTGAATATTTCCATATTTTAGCCCAATCAGAAGGAAATCAGAAGGAGCTTGTGTTGCGGACAACCAACAAGAGAGAGAAAACTCGACCTCTTTGATAAAAACGGAACCGTAGTGCTGCAAGGAAGATAACTCACCTAAAAAAGGCAGCAATGGCTCTGATACCATATAGATTTTGAGAAAAAGAAAAGGTTTCTTGTATTTTATGTGTTTACATCCCATGAGCAAGAAAATTTATACAAAGCTCCTAATTCTAATTAAGAAAATAAAATAAATCTATACAATCAATTCAGCTATCAAATCAAATCAAATCAAATCAGAATAAAATAAAATCTCCTGAAATCATACTAATCAATACTCCTAAATCAAGTCTCCTTGAATCATGATAATCAACACTATACAACCATTTCAGCTATGAAATAAAATAAAATAAAATCGAATCTCCTAAATAAAATTAATTCTCTCTGAAATCATGCTAATCAACAACAACAATGCATTTTCTTTCCCGATCTTTACCATGTGTTTGGTATGACGAAAATATTTTCCAATTTTCTCATGTTTGCACTGCCAAATTTTTGAGAAAACATTTTTTCCTAAGATTATATTTTCCTTAAAATTTGGAAACTAACTTCCGTAGCATACCTGGAAAATCATTTTCCAGACGCAACACTGCTTCACCCCCATCACAATATTCATTTCCCCACTCTCCTTTTAGATTAGAGTCCTCATCTAAGAGTATAATCCCCTTCTCCTAGAGAATCCTTTTCCAAAAAGAATTGAGCTTCTTGTCAGCCAGATCATAGGTTCCCGATAATGACGCATTTTCAGCTGTTTCGTAGGAGTGTTCCTTCCTCATCTTTTCCTCATGACAACCAGAATACTTATACAAATAGAGCTTGGAGCAGAGAAAAATGTAAGTCAAAACCTTTTTTGTTTGTCTGAAATGCAAGGCAGCAGAACTTCATCCGATACTCCAACTCAACTTTATTAACTGTATTCTTATCAAAGTGGATCTTATCAACTCCTTTATTTGTTGGAAAAGAGCAACGTCCTACATAAATTTTGTACAATGTGGCACCTTCTCGGTGCTTATATGATTAAAGCTTTAGTTATCCAAAAAAGATGATACCAATGCATATGTAGTTCTAGAGATATCAAGGCACACTAAGGATGGAACAAACGAGAACTTTTGGGTGCATAAGTGGTGCGAGGAGAACGAGTTGAGGGAAACTTTTCCTAACTTATATAGAGTATCTTGCCAGAGAGAGATGACGGTCCAACAAATTTGTAGGTCCCATGGAGGGGTGCTTCATTGGGATTTGAGATTTAGGAGGAACCTACATGATTGGGAGATGGAAGAATTTCACAATCTAGTTGAGTTATTGTATGGGTTGGATAAACCGAATAATGTATCGGATGTATGGAGATGGCGGGAGAGTAAAAATAGATTATTCACGGTTAAATCTTATTATAAGAGGTTATTAGTGAGAGAGGAACACATTTTCTCTCATTACTCTATTTGGATTCCCAGAGCACCAAAAAAGGTGTGTTTCTTTGTGTGGTTGGCGGCGAGGAGAGTGATTTTGATAGCGAAAAATTTGAGAAAGAGAAGGATCACCTACGTTAGTTGGTGCTTCATGTGCAAAAGCTTAGGTGATGATGATTGTAAAGTGGCTAATCAATTGTGGAGAGAGATCCTTAATTTGTTTGAGGTGCAATGGGCGATGCCGGGTACAGTGAAGGAGGTGTTGCATAGTTGGGTTCACATGAGTGGAAAGAGAAGTCCAAGGGCATGGAGTGTCGCTCCCTTAGCAATCATGTGGGTAATATGGAAAGAAAGAAATAGGAGGGCTTTTGAAGGGGTGGAACAAGATTTTGTGAAATTACAAAGTAGTTTCTTGTTCCTAGTTTCTTTTTGTTGTACTCATGAGGTCCCTATTTGTATAGAGGATTGGATCTCTTTTGTTGAGAACTATATTTTGGTGTATGTTCTCTTCTTTTTTTTTTTTGTTGGTATACGGCTTGTATACGGGGTTAGTCCCCAATTGTTAATAAAATTATTTACCTTATCAAAAAAAAAAAAAAGGATGGAACAAACGAGTTGCAAGCATATTCTATAAGAATCAACTTTTTCCCATTAAATATTGAACTTTCTTTAGGTTGAAATTTCTCTAGAAATTTCCAATACTCGTTTTAAAGGAAAAGAAAATAATTTAGAATAAATAACAACGGACATCTTTCTATTTTCTGGCAAGAAGTTTGTTACAGAAAACAGCCACCATCTGATTCAAACTAGTTATGAGAAATTAGAGAGGCCCTTATTTTAGATGTTACGCACAGAAATTTCCAGGAAATAGACAAATAATGCGACATGCATCATCCTAAAATCAATTTATGTCATTTCTGCTTTAAGTCTTCCAAGTTCCATCTTAAATAGCTATCATTCAGGCACATCCATTCAGGGTTTGATAAAAAGACTGAAGGGTATGAAAACTGGGACGGAAATGCATACTTGCACTAACTGCGTTACTTCAGCCTTTAGATGAATATTTGCAGGAAACCTGGCAGCCAGACACAACGATAAACGAGGATCCACAGAAAAGGCAGTTCGAGCAAGACTGACCCAATTGTCAGAGCTGATTTTAAGACATGGAGTGGTTTCCCTGATATTGGAAAGAATTAATAACAATAATGGCAAACCATGTTAAAGGGAGAAGTTAGAACAGGGAGAAACACAATCAGCAATCAATGTGCATTACTTGGCAATAGGTTGTGCCCAGACATCAAGTCTGACAGCTTCATGCTGGCATAACAACAGAAGCAACTGCTTCACCTTCTCCCTCCAAACAACATAGCTCTCCATTTGACCCCAAACATGATGGAATTGATCTTTCTGTAAGCATCATTAAGTTAAAAAAAGAGCACAAGGACCATAAGTAGTTAGAGAAAAGAAACTGTTCCCACGACAAACAGAATGTTTTCGGCACAAAAAGTTTCTCAAATGATGTAAGAATCAAAGTTTGCAGCTCATCGTTATGATTATCTCACCACATCATTCAAAGAGTTTTCGAGTCCCCGTCTTTCAGAATAAAGTTGGGGAGTATCTAATTGCTCATTCAAAAGATGATGGACAAACATAGAAACAGACTGCGCCTCACTCAGGGCAAAGTTGTTATTCATGTCATACCACTCAGGTTGGTGAGCAAACCACCCCAATGAAGCCCTGCAAATAGTCCAAAATTCCCAAATCTGGTGTAACACATTAAATGATAAACTTCCATAAACAAATAAAGAAGTGTTTGTGTGCAACTCAGTATCTTCTAGCAAGCTATTGGTCAAAGAAGATGAGCGAGGACCTTCCGCTATTCATTTGCCTGTATTCACAATACATGCAAACATACTGTTGAGTCCCATAACGACAATGAAGGGGATGGGTGGTCTCCTTATATGGACTTGGGCAATCCTTACCTCTTGAGCTAGCTTTTGAGGTTGAGTTAGGCCCAAGGTCCATTTAACACATACTAGTCCAATTAAATGTAGGTCAGTGTTTACCGATATATTCTGTCTTCCAGAAGCTTAAGCCCAGCCCTGAGATTTTGCAAAACACCATGTGATCTGCACGAGCAAAACTTCAGTCCAAGAAGCATGAGGGTGAAAAATGTGCCAGTAGCAGCAGGGTGGGAAGAAAAGTTCCAGGGCAGTTTGGTAGTTCCTTGCAATAACCGCCAGAAAAGTAAAAGCTGTGGAACATATCATGTCGAACGACCTGCAAAGACAAAAAACTATAGTTTTAACATTTTAAATAATGTTGAGAGAATCAAAAGGCTGAAACAATTATTCAGGCATCACAGCAGTTGAAAACTTTTAGCAACATTATCAAGAAAGGCAGTGTCTTTCACAGAAATACTTTTTTTTGGGGGGTCAATGAATGGTTAAACCATGTTCCTTAGACAACTATTGACCCCCCCTGGAAAAAGGAATGGCTCAAGAAGTGAAGAGCAAAAAATGAAAAGTTCGAGCGATATAGAAAACATCATCATCTCAACTGTGACCAAGGTAGCACCAAAGATTATAGTAGTTCTACTGTGGTACCACCACATTCCAACTAATCCAAACACAACAAGCATTTAACAAACCAAATACATATCCAGACCGTAGTTTACACGGAACAACATTAGTGCAAGAATTTGGTGAGGAAGGAAACCAATGATGGTTTCTCTAGCAAGTGCAAGAGGATACTTGGTAAAAGTTGTACCAGACAGAAATAGAATGAAAGAAGAGAACAGCTAAGGACACAAATTTCGCAAAATTGGTATCACCATGGAAAACTCTATATATTTTAACTCGAAAGCCCTACTGCTGAAGTATTTTAATAGAGGCAAAACATCATATGCCAACATGCATCAAATTAATTTTCAAAAAAGTGATGGGTCAGGTGTACTATTACACCATCTTTAACCTAACCACTTTGGGTGGACAATATACAAGCTTGTGCTTGATTATCTCGGTGATTCATAAGGAACATCGAAAGGAGTGGAAGCATCGAAACACTGATAATCACCTCAAAATGATCAATAAAGAACACAAGCCATAGTCTGTGGGCCATTATTTGTTCAACAAGATCCTTCTCAGGCGGTGCTTCTGGCTCCCCGGGTACTAGGTGAGGCCTTAACTTAGCAACAGGTCCGCAACACCTAACTTCAGATGCAAAAACTCCTTGCTTTGTGTCCACTGTCCACAACCAGGCATCGACAAGCTCAGCAAGTACCAGAGAACACAATTGAGGAGCAGCAGAAACCAACCACGTCCAAATAAATACACCAGTTTCCATGGCATCGGGTGTCAATATATAAGCTGGGCACCAGCAAAGAAGATGTACAAGTTGTGAAAAGCTTTCAACATTTGATTTAGAATCAGAGCCCTGTGGAGAAAAGCAATTTCAGTAACATGTAAAGCAAATAACAAAATTGCAGGGTGGAAAGAGAATTTTTTTTTTTTTGATGAGTAGTCTAAAAAAGCAAAGTCTGCTACAAATTAAAACTTTTTATTTTTATTTTTTTGATGAGTAGTCCAAAAAATAAAAATTCAGAACTTGTCTATACCAGATCAGAGAGAAGAAAAGCAGTTGCTAGAGAACATGTTTCACGGAAAGATGACTTGTCCACTTCTCCCCCTCCTTCAACATAGATGACAAATTTCTGGAGCTGTTGGACAAAATTTGTAAGTAAAACATCAGAAAAGGACTCAGTTTTTGGCTGCAAATTTCCCACCATATCATCAGGACCCAAAGTTGGGAGATCAAGGCTACCAATACTATCATATAACCTTCTCATACCAGCAATTCCTCCAGCATGATTACACTTCGCAGTTGCACTGATCATACCAGTACTGAGTACCTCGAAATTAAATGCCTCTGTTAAATTTCATTTTGCTCCAGATGGTGCAGCTGCTGCAGCCATAACAGCAGGAATATTTGCTGTTTTTGTTCTGGTACGACAATCATTTTTATCAGTACCAATGTTTATCTCAGATAAGAGCGAAACAATTTCTGCTGCAGGCTGCAAATTTTGCCAAGTGTTTGCTTTACAAAGCTTTTCCTGAAGCATGGAAAGAGGGATTAGCTAATAGTACGTGCAATAGAAAATATGAAATAGGATAGCAAAGAAGGGAATAAGCAAGTAAAACATCAGTTGGAACCACGCAAATTCAGATCTTTCAGCGAAACTCGAAAGGGTGTCTAAGATTTTAAACTCTTAAGTACCATAAGCTAAAATACTGTCTCCACCCAAAATATTTATACTCCTATTGAAAGAAGACCATGTTTTTCACAATGTTGAGGAATGGTGACGTTTTTCCAACAAAACATATTTCCTCTACATGTACCATAGTTGAGAGAAAGACCCAGTTGCTATTCTGATAAAACAAAGAAAGAAAAATCAGATTCTATGTTTTCCCTGGTAAATAATAATTATTAAATAAGATTTAGAACTGCTAGGTTGGCAATATTAGATTTTTTTAGCTGGTTGATTTGTTAGGTGTGTTACGTGACCAACTCCATAGCATTTTCCATGGACACTTTGGTTCATAATTATCAGCTTAATCCTGGAGAAAATTATAACAACTTCTGACAGAATATTTCATATCATTACTTACAGTCCAAACCATGTAATCTTCTTATCTTCTCTATCACTACTGTGCCAAGTAACTGAAGCAGTTGCCAACTTCTTCCATCTCCCAATCATTAAATCCTCTTCTAGACTCCACAACCACCTACTAAGGGAAAAGAATTCAGAAACACTACCCCCGCCCATACTCCATGCGTTGATTTTGACACTATTGCCCAACCTCAGTTTAGTGTATTGCTGAACCTGCTAGTGTAGCTCCAGATACTACCTTTCGAGAAAATTTGAACAGTGGGAGGACTCCTAACATCCTTCTTCACATATTTAACATTTATCGACTTCTTCCAAATGCTTTATTTTCCCTCATTGTATTTCCACAACCATTTGCATAATAAGCACTTACTCGTTATACAACAACCCAGTATAATATCACGTAGTGGGGTTTGGGGAGGGTAGTGTGTAAGTAAACCTTACCCTTATCTCGTGGAGATAGAGAGGATGTTTCAAATAGACCCTCGGCTCAATGAAGGGCAAGCACAACAATAATGAAAAGAAAACAGCCAGAAACAACAATGAGGAGCCATGTAAAAGAAGCATTGAAAACAGCAAGATAGATAATAAGCACTCATTATGCAATCTCAAATTTCTAATCCGCATCCCACCACCCTTTTAAGCAGTCATTACCCTTTGCCATTTGATTAGATCTAGCTTCCTTTTATCTGCATTATCTTCCCATAAAAAAATACTCCTCAAAGTATTTAGTGGGCGTTTGGACATAAGAATTGTAAAATTCCAAAAAAAAGTGAAAAATAAATTTCAAGTGAAAATGATATTTAAAAATTAGAGTTGTGTTTGGAAATAAATATAATTTTGGATTGTTTTTAAAGTTTTGTGAGTAATCTGAGTGAAAATTTTAAAAAACAGCTTTTTGAAGTTTTTTTTTGAAAAATTTCTTATGTCCAAACGGGCTCTTAGCTTCTTCTCCACTTTCACAGGTAATTGAAACAAATACATTAAGTTGGAACACCATCCAACACACTGCATATCAAAGTACGTTGGAACACCATCAGACACACTGCTTATCAAAGTAAGTCTTCCTCCAAAAGATAAATACTGCTTTCTCCATGGAGACAGCTTGCTGGAACACCTATCCAGAACCCCTGCCAGACCCTCTGTTCATTTTTGTTATCTCCAAGTGATCTTAGCAACAGGGACAAATGTCTTTTGAAAATTCACTTCATAAGTCTGAGTAAATCCCTTAGCCACCAATCTTGCTTTGAATCTTTCAATCAAGCCATCAGCTTTGTGCTTCACATTGAAGACCCATTTGCAGCCAACCAATGTCTTGTCTGGTGGTAAAGTGAAAAGTTCCCAAGTCTCATTTTTTTATAAGGCCTTTATTTTTTCAATCATAGCTTGCTTCCATTTAGGATCTACAAAAGTTTCCCTCCAATTATGGGGAATAGACACAGAAGAAATAGATAAGGAAAATGCTCTACAAAAGGGAGACAGAGAATTATAGGAGACAAAATTAGATAACGGGTGTTTGGTGGTGCAAAATCTGACTCCTTTTCTATGAGCAATAGGTTCATCTAAATCATTAAAAAATGTAGATAACTCACCGGTAGAAGGAGGTTCAACTTCGGTAGATTGCATGATGGCTTCTGGTACTCTATTTTTTCTTGAGTAAGTTTTCAAATCAAGCCTATCTAAATGCCCAATAGTCTCTCCCCCAAAATAATTTCTCCAATTTCACTTTCCCCTGTCATAATGTCACCAAGAGGTCCAGTAATGGAACTAGGTAGAATCACCTCTTCCTCTTTATTGCTCTCCCCTGAAGAGGTGATGAGGTAAAACTGAAATACAGCTTAAATTCTCGAAAAAGTAATATCCATGCTAACAAAAAATCACCTAGAGGGAGGATGATAACATTTGTAACCTTTCTGTGTCAGAGAATACCCAATGAATACACATTTTATAGCTCTAGGATCAAATTTTCCAGAATTTTTAGTGTAGATAAAGCAAACACATCCAAACACCTTTGGAGAAACAGTATATTCATTAATACCCTTTAAAACTTCTAGAGGACTTTGAAAATTGAGGGTTTTAAGTGGCATTCTGTTGATAAGATAGGAAGCCACTAGAATAGCATCCCCCAAATAAGGTTTTGATAGATGCATGATGAACATAAGACATCGTGCTATTTCTAACAAATGCCTATTTTTTTCTTTCAGCGACTCCATTTTGTGCACTAGTGTAAGGACAACAAGTCTGATGGACTATCCCATTGCACACCAAATAAGCACCAAATCTTTTATCCATGTATTCGTTGTCATTGTTAATTCTCAAGATTTTTGTTTTGGCATCAAACTGAATACAAATCATCTTATGAAATGACTGAAAACAAAGGAAAACTTAACTTTTAATTTTTAACAAATATACTCAAGTCATCCTAGTGTAGCAAATCAATGAAAGTAACAAACCATCGACTACCATACAAAGAAACAGTTTGTGTAGGACCTCATACATCAAAATGAATAGTCATAAACGAAGTTGTGCTTCTATTATCACTCACAGGATAAGAGTTTCTCGTATGCTTGGCATATTGAAATGCATCACAGAACAAAGATTCAAATTGAGTCCTTGAAAATAAAACGGGATATGAAAATTCAACACTTTTAGAACAACTGCCACACTGGGCTGCTTGTTCAATTACACAGGCGTTGGAGTTCCTCACACAAGCATACAAGGGTCATCCACGGGTTATGGCTTATGTTCTAAGGGTGTTGGAGTCGTATCCTCCTCAAAGAATAACCTTCCTCATACCGCAACTGGTGCAGGCCCTGAGATATGATGACGAGGTGTATTTTACTGGCTAGCAAGTCAAAGAGATGTACTCTTGGAAGTTAATTGTTTACTTCAATGCTTTACATAGTTCATAGTTCTTTCATGAACAGCATTTTCATGGTTATAATAAAGATAAAGTGAATGATTTTGTTTGTACCTGTAAACAAAAATGAATAGAATTAAACAGTAGATGTCACAATGGGTTTTCATCTCGAAGTAGTTTTCATAATACCTTCCTTGTGTGTCTCGACTGCCCATCTGTCTTGTGCATCAGTGTGAAAAATACCTATTCATCTTGCATATAATAGATCTGGTTGACCTTGATCATGCGATTTTTACCCATGCAGAAATTAGTAGAAGGATACTTGGTCAGAGCTAGTCAAAGGAGTGACATATTTGCCCTTATTCTAGTATGGAATCTGCAGGTGGGAAGCTTTTGCTTTGTTTCGGTTTTAAAAAGGCTATCCTTGTCGGATAAATTAAATCGGCTCCCTCTTGCTTTATGGTGAACATTGGTTTGATCTTCTATTATAGCCACTAACCTCAAAAGCATTTGCAGGGCGAGACTTGTGAGCCGAGAGTTAGGGATGTTGAAATTGGCAAAAGTACCACATCAGTGGATGACAATTTTGAATGGGAATTTCACCCTATAAAAGGAGGCCTAATGTTTAGAATTTAAACACACCTCTCATTTGCCTTTTTTCTTCTTAAGGCATTTGTATCTTCTCTCTTTAGTATTATTTCACTTGTAATTTTGGAGTACAATAAAATATTGATTGTATCCGAGGAAGTAGGCAAAATTGGCCGAACCTTGTAAATTCTGGTGTTCTTTTATTGTTGTCTT